CACAGACATCCTTATGAAGCCATGTATATGGGGACACAGAGTAGCAGTTTTCTTTCATTATCCACTCTTCTATCAACTTTCTTCTGGTTTGGCCTTACTCAGCTAGATACCCAATCATTCATGAAAACCCCAAGTCCTACTTTGTACTTCTGCCTAATTACCTTATCAGACTTTATGCTGCCTATCCCTTTGTTGTCCGAGAGTATAGACAAAAGTGATACTTGGGAATAAAGGAGAAAACTTACCCTGCTTACAGTGAGAGAATGACATGCAATCTATTTTGCCCAAGTCCTATGCTAAGTGAGTATAGTATCTCTGCCGCAGTTACAGATTAAAGGCTCTATAACTTATGGCAGGGGCTCATCTGGCTTCCATCATTCTCACAAGGGTTTAAGGACTCTTCATAATGAAAACTGGGGAATTTGCAGAAATTACTATAGTCTCAATATGGTTACTATCTATCCACTGATTTCATATTCCCTGGATCAACTACAGCACAGGGCTATAGGCCTTTAATAAAATTAGATATCGAGGGCACCTATCATCTCTTTTGTACCTAAGAAGGGAACTAGAACAAGTCTTTGGTCAGTATTAGTATATTGTGATGCCACTGGGAAACTTAAAACATCTTGCAGGGCTTTCTGCAACACTACACATTTCATAACACAAAAATAATGTCTGCTTAATCAGAAAAAAAAGAGGGCCATTTTCACTTTTAATAAAAGTCAAATACGAATTGAATTTTAAGAAAGGTCTCAGTATTCTTTAAATCCCAAAGGAGATATTTGGAGCACATTCAATTGAGCATATTGTGTGATTATGTCCCTAACTGAGTAGCAAATCCCCAAATGTTTGCTTCTCACCTGGATGAGTGTCCAGTGAGCCGCCCTTTCATCATCCACTGCTCCTCTTGCTCCAACTGAGTGATCACCTCTGGCTTATAAAGTTGATGCCCTATTCATGGGAAAAATATACGCCTAAGGAATTTATACTGGGAACACAAATTTTTCTCAGAATTCATTTCCAAGCTTTTTAATCTTTAGGGTCCCTGGTTTTAGAAAGGAGTGGTTTCCAAAATAAAGCTACCCTTATCAAACTCAGCAAAATCAAGGCCTTCTATCTGAGGAGAAAGAACAAGAAAGAAGGTCTCTAACTCCAAAACCAATGATCAGTTTTCTGTCATGGCCTGAACTATGTATTCACAAAGAACTTTGGAGGTTTTCACTACTTAAGGAAATAAACCCATTAGAACGATCAGTTTCACAGCTGTCTCTTACCCAGGGCAACCAAATTCCTGTAGTTCTCCAGCATCACATCTCGGTAGAGGTTCTTCTGAGCAGGGTACAGCTGGTCCCTCTTCCCTGGTGAAGTCCACAGACACATCCTGGAATGTCAGTGATTCCTGAAACATCAAGAACAACCCTGCTCAGCCAGAAACCATTTTACAGAGGCCTGCGGGGACAGGTCAAAGCACAGCAATAGACAAAGGTTAGGACGTCTAAGCCATTGTGCTGAGAGTCTTCAGGTCTGAGTAATTTGGGTCAAGAATTTTTAAACAGCAATTAGTACCCATCTTTCTCTCATTTTTCAAGACATTGATTCTTGTGTAGATCCTTAACAGAATTTTAAGCTTTGTAAAGAGGAGGAGAGAGGACATTTTGGTGCGTTATTTAAAAAGGGGAAAAGAAACAAGGGTGGAGAGGGCCTCCCTGGTGGCGCAAGGGGTTGAGCACAGTACTATGAAGCTATCCACAGACTCTGCAACACGAGTTCGATCCCCAGCCGGCTAGGGAGCTACCCACATGGCGCAGCAGACCTC